GCACTGCTGAGGGGAAGGAGGTAGAGAAAATCAGGAGCAAAGTTGAGCCCAGGAAGAAGTGAGGATCTTCAAAATCAGCATTAAATACATGCATTTTTTCTTGGTAGTATATAATACTTCCATGTAATGGCAAAAGGGTTCAAACAATACAGAGCCTGCAAATGTCAACTGCAGAGGAAATTAATTGACATGCTATTTTAATTTTTCTTCTTTTTTTTTATTAAGCTTTATCATGTTGCATAGCCAGAAAGCCTGCATACCAGTGAAGGGTGAAAGCAAAGACAATGATCTGCATAAGAAACATAATGCAGGCAACATCCGGGCCTTTTGAGGAAAGGTATCGTATTCCCAACAAGGAGGTCAGAAACGAGAACTCTCCTTTCTGGGGAGCCTCTCGTGTAAGAGCTTGGACCGTTTTGGATCCTGAGGGCTGTGAGCAGACTGTAAGTTACCTGCTCAGGTGATGGCGTGCCCTTTGGAGAAGGCACAGTGCTGTGGTCCAGCATCTCCCCAAATGACACAGGGAAAAGATTGATTTTCCCTTGAAAACAGCAAGAGATCTTAGAAGTTTCAGATACAAAGTTTCTCACTGCAATGATGTGCAGTTAGATGTGTTTTGAACACTTCCAGAGCACTAGCTGGTGATTTAAGCTTAGTATCTTTTCATTTTACTAAACAAAATTAAATGTTGAGAGAACATCTCCACAGGGAAGGTCTGACTGCAGTTTACACAGATGTACCCTAGCTAGAACAGGAACTGATAGCACAGACTTGGTGCACACAAGAAGATCTGTAAATCCGAGTAAATACTCAGGCAGTCTGTGCTGAACTCCATATTGGTTCAGTTACAGTGCTGTTCGAGCTCAGCTGGCTTCTCTAAAGCTACTTTGGGTATTTCAGCATAAGCTGCTGGAGCACCTTTTCTTCAGACTGGGGTTTTGTTCAGGACACAGAGTATAATTTTCTTCTTTCTGTATGTCTGCCTCCAGCAAAGGCAAACATCTGTGTGATTGTGGTCACGTTTGGCAGCAGCACAGGCGTAGCCTCAGATCAAACTATCGGAGCAGAGTTGCAGTATCAAGTCCTTCTTCCTTCATTCTAGTAAAATAAACATGACCTGACTTCATTCACACCGATTAATTTAGAGGTTTGTGGACTGTGAGTAATGCAGCAGTATATACATTTCACGTTGAGTTTTTCTAGTTCATTCTAAAAAAGAATTTGAAGCATCCTGCTGTAGACAGCCATGGCAAGGCCCTACCATGGAAACCCAGGCAGCGACCTTGGCTGCCTGTATCAAGAATCTGGGGCAAACAGTTTAGGAAATGGGGAAGAACTAGTTTTGAGGAGGGCATTGCCCTGAATTTCTCTGCTATAGAGATGTAAGAGCAGGGTTGTAAGAACTTCTCTTCTTGAATGTCACTCATTCAGGCTCTGTGGGGGTTGGCGTGCTTTGGACTACCTCCTCAGGGTCAGACATGGATCCATTTTTAATCTGGAAGGATAATGGGCGCATTGCTGCACCATGTGGCACATCCTCAGTCGGTCTAAATTGGCACCAGGAATCTACTGCAGAAAATCTTGGCGCTGTTGGAAGTCAATGGCAAAACTCTCACTGTGTTCAGTGGGGGATCAGGATTTATTCCAGCGAGTTCAGTGGAAGCACAGCATTTTACCAACTGCAGATCTGGCTCGATTCATTATTTGACACTTGTTCTCAGTTTAGTTTTGTTTAAGAGAAAATTTTAAAGAAGGTTGTAAGATGGCTCCACCAACCCCTGGAGCCCATGGAGCTTTTGGGTCTTGGCCCCAGGTGATAAGATGGTAACGTGCGTATAGAACTTGATTTCGGTATAAAAATAAACTTCTACATGAAGGCAGTTACCAATTCTTTTGGTTTCTCTCATTACTCTGCAGTACAGCTGTTAGCCATATTAAAGCATATTTTCTAACCTCCAATTTTTTCAAGAATAAAAATCCATCTTAATTAGTGGAACTATTAGTTGGGTTGTTTTGTATTTCTATAATATGCTCTGCCTCCTTATTTTTTTCTGGGTGCACCATATACAAATAAGAACTTTGATTTCAAATATAGGGCCAAACCCTCTCCCTTTCAAGTTTATGAGCAGAAGTTATTTCAATTTGAGCAGGATGGGTCGGATGGAACATAAAAAAGCCACATCATCAGCTTAAAATACAAGTCCAATAAAAATGAAGTTGGAACTTTACCAGCTGTGTACTGATGAAAGTGTATGAGATTTTAAGTAAGAGAAGCTGCTCAATATGGACTCACAAACAAAACAAAACAAAAAAATGAGCCAACAGAAAAAACAAACCAAAAGGAAGAACTGGGAGAAGCCTGGTGCAGACAGCAATCCCGAGCAGAGGTCATTTAAAAAGAGAAGTAAAGGGATGTCTGAATGTAATGTACAAATTGATCTACTCCATTATTCAGAATAATCTTTCCTTTTTTATCTTTAGCCTAAAAAAATGGGAAAACCAAACCAGAACAACAAATGAAGGGAGCAGAGAATCACGTCCTGCTATGATTGATCAGGCCTGGGGTCTGTAAAACCTAATCGTTGGCATTCAGCAGGACTAGGTAGCTGTTATTTTTCTTCTACCCCCTTGCGTCCATAATATTGGGACGGAAGGTAATAACTGGACCCATAGCCCATACAGGAGCAAGAATAGTTAAGGATACCCAGGAAAATTCCTTGGCAGAGGACCAGCTTCCTGCAGGAAGCCGTTGCATGCAAATTTCCAGAGGGGTATAATACAGTATGCAGATCCAGCGTGAGGCAGCCTGCGGTAGGTCAGGCCATGGCCTGGTGAGGACAGCGAGAGCACGGCAAGGGCTGTGAGGATTCTCCAAGGTTAAAGAGGAAAGTGGTGAAAACAGCAAACGATCCGGATAATGTAACAGCCGAGTACATATATACATTATCTGTAAGGAATAAGCAGTACAGCATTTATCCTGGCCATATGGAAACAAATATAACTTGTTTTTTTCCATAAAGGCCACTCTTGATTATTTAATTATTTTTTAAAATCTTCTTCTATATCGTATTTATAGTATTCCTGAATGCTTTCAGCGTCTATCTCTCCGTTTGCAGATATTTAATATAAGATGGCTTTGCAGCAAGTTAATTCCAGTCTTATTAGCAAATAGTCCAAACTATTTTTCCGGTGAAATGGCTGCTTAATTGGTTTGATCCGATGAGGATCTCTGAATTTCACTGAATTTCACTGAATTTTAGAGTTGGAAGGGACCATAGAGATCATCTAGTCCAACTCCCCTGCTGAAGCAGGATTGCCTAGAGCTTGTCAGAGCATGTTACTCAGGACTGCATCCAGGCGGGTCTTGAAAATCTCCAGGGAAGGGGACTCCACACCCTCCCTGGGCAGCCTGTTCCAGGGATCTCTGATCGCAGGCTGCCTACGTTGGTGGCACTTTTTCCATTTGGGTCCTTGCTTTCAACGGGCACCCAAGACTCCCAAGGAAACTCATGCTGAGCTGCCTTAAGTTTGCCGAGTCCGGCTCTGGTTTTCTTTGATCCCCGGTTTCCATGTGAATTCATTCACCCACTGGAGCCGGGACGGGGCTCGGGGGCTCCGAGCCTGGCGGGTGTGTGTGTGTCTGTGCGTGTGTGTGTGTGTCTGTGTGTGTGTTTCTTCTTGCTGCAACCCGCTTTTGGTCTGTGTGTGTGCGTGTGCGTGTTTCTTCTTGCTGCAACCCGCTTTTGGCCAACTCCCCCCCCCGCTCCCAGCACCCGTCCCGACGCGCCTCCGGCAGCGGGAGGGTCCCGGCGGGGGAAGCCCCGGCGGCGGGGCCGGCGCGGTGCTCGGGGCGGGCTGTCCCCGCTCCCCTCGGCCCGGCTGCGCCGTGTGGCAGCGCCTCTGTCAATCAGCCTGACTTCACTCCTGCACGCCCTGTGTTTCCAGTATTATACCCCCGCCGCCTCCTGGTGTCTCTGCTTCGCTACGAGCCGGGAGCGCGGCCGCCACTGCCGCTGCGGCTGCGGCTGGGCGAATGCGCGGGCGGCGGGGCGCGGGGCAGCCCTGAGAGGCGCGGAGAGGCGCGGAGAGGAGCGGAGCGGGGCTGCCGCTTGGCCCGCCCCGGCTGCGGGAGGCGCGGCGCTCGGTCGGCTGCGGGCAGCCCGGGCGCCGGCCCCCCGCGTCGGACCGGGACCGCCGCGATGGACCCTCCCGCGGGCATCGCCTGCCTCCTGCTCTGCTGCGCGCTCTCCCTGCCCGCCGGCGCCCTGCGGCGCCCCGGGGACACAGGTAGGTCTCCGCCGACACGCCGGGGCAGCCCCCGCCGTCTTTTGGGCTGCTGGCTTTGCCCCGCCGCCGGTGCCTTTGCAACCCGCCCGTCTGAAGTCGCGGCTCCTCGCCCGCCCCGGCGGCTTTCCGCTCCCCGGGAACTTCTTCTGCGGCTACTTTTGCCGGGTTTCCAGTTGTTTCCTGCAAGCGGCAGGCGAGGACGGGGACAGGGACGGGGACGGGGACGGGGACAGGGGCACCCGCGCCGCCGGCGGGGAAGGGACGCTGTCACCAGCGCTGCGCCGGTGCCCGCAGCCCCGCGGCCGCCCGCTGTCTGCCCCGCAAAGGGGGCGAGCCCCGGCGGGGAGGGCTCGGTGCCTGGAGTTCCCCGTGCGGGATGAAGCACATGGCAGCTCGTCTGCCTCCTCCTCCTCCTCCTCCTGCCCCGGCTGTCGCCGCCGTCCTAAACTCCCGGGGTTCCCGCTGACTCCCCATCACCGCTCGACTCGTCCCCGCAGCCCCGGGGGTAGTGTGCGGGACGTGCCTTTCCTTTGCGGGCTTGCCACCTGCACACCCAAACCCTTACCCCCTTGCCCCTCCGAGCTGTCCCGAAGTCCATCAGCGTCCCTCTGCTCATCGCTGGCCACCCCGGTAGCCACAAAGTGGGCGAATGCGCGGGCGGCGGGGCGCGGGGCAGCCCTGAGAGGCGCGGAGAGGCGCGGAGAGGAGCGGAGCGGGGCTGCCGCTTGGCCCGCCCCGGCTGCGGGAGGCGCGGCGCTCGGTCGGCTGCGGGCAGCCCGGGCGCCGGCCCCCCGCGTCGGACCGGGACCGCCGCGATGGACCCTCCCGCGGGCATCGCCTGCCTCCTGCTCTGCTGCGCGCTCTCCCTGCCCGCCGGCGCCCTGCGGCGCCCCGGGGACACAGGTAGGTCTCCGCCGACACGCCGGGGCAGCCCCCGCCGTCTTTTGGGCTGCTGGCTTTGCCCCGCCGCCGGTGCCTTTGCAACCCGCCCGTCTGAAGTCGCGGCTCCTCGCCCGCCCCGGCGGCTTTCCGCTCCCCGGGAACTTCTTCTGCGGCTACTTTTGCCGGGTTTCCAGTTGTTTCCTGCAAGCGGCAGGCGAGGACGGGGACAGGGACGGGGACGGGGACGGGGACAGGGGCACCCGCGCCGCCGGCGGGGAAGGGACGCTGTCACCAGCGCTGCGCCGGTGCCCGCAGCCCCGCGGCCGCCCGCTGTCTGCCCCGCAAAGGGGGCGAGCCCCGGCGGGGAGGGCTCGGTGCCTGGAGTTCCCCGTGCGGGATGAAGCACATGGCAGCTCGTCTGCCTCCTCCTCCTCCTCCTCCTGCCCCGGCTGTCGCCGCCGTCCTAAACTCCCGGGGTTCCCGCTGACTCCCCATCACCGCTCGACTCGTCCCCGCAGCCCCGGGGGTAGTGTGCGGGACGTGCCTTTCCTTTGCGGGCTTGCCACCTGCACACCCAAACCCTTACCCCCTTGCCCCTCCGAGCTGTCCCGAAGTCCATCAGCGTCCCTCTGCTCATCGCTGGCCACCCCGGTAGCCACAAAGTCCCCGAGGCGACCCGGGCGCTGACCGGCTGGGCTGGAGTGCGGGGTCCCGGCTGGGGGGGCAGAGAGGAGCGGGTCCCTGTTGCGTGGGCAGAAGTGCGGGGTCCCTGCTGGGTGGGGAGTTTCACGCTGCCGTCTGGGGTTTTGGGGAGCAAAAGGCAAGTTTGAATGAACTCTGCACACTTCATGCCGGTGCCTGTATAGAGTGCAGTGTCCATCTGCCTTATGTAAGTGTCTGCTGTGCTAATGAATAATGGAATAAAAATCCCGCGGCATCAGGATATGTTTAGTTCTAGTATCTCTCTCCTCTCTTGCTTTCTCCCTCTAAAGATCCAATTCTGAGGAATATAGAGGAGTACAGCCTTGTCATCCCCACCAGCACCGATTCAGAGGGCAGGTTCCTATCCCACCTGGTGTCTGGACCGCCAAAAGCGCGCTTCAGGAGAGCTGCGGAGGGCTTGCAACACGAAGCAGCAAATGAGCAAATATTTTACAATGTCACCGTTTTCGGAAGAGAGTTTCACTTCAGGTTGCGGCCAAACTCCAGGCTGGTGGCCCCGGGAGCAACAGTTGAATGGCAGGAGGACTCTGAGGAGACTCACATTGAACCTCTCTATGGGAATTGCCTCTATGTTGGGGATATCACTGATTTGCCAAACGCTTCGGTCGCAATCAGCAATTGCGATGGGCTGGTAAGTTAACTTTTGTTATTATATCAAAGATAATGACATTAATTTCCTACAGCCTTTAAATATAAAATGTGTGGACTGTCAGAAACTCACACCTCATATGGTAACTGTGAATGCAAATTAACTAATGTTCCCTTGTGTGGGAATAGCTGCGCTGCACCAGGCGCTGCTTTACAGGCGGCGGCACTAGAAGTTTGAGCACATGCTCGGTGGTAGCTACTCTGGAACAGAGCTGCTGAAGCCAAGATTTGTGTTCATTTGTTGTAAAAGTTGCTTGAGGTGGCTGATGCTTTGAAACAAGAGGATGAAATGGCACATTCTCGGCATCCTCGTCCACTTTTCCAGTCTGCCAAGGGAAATTTTAGAAGAGTTAACCCCAAATAATGGGCTGAACTGCCTTGGAAACGCGTGATAGGTAAAATATGGTTTTGCCCTGGAAAATTTTAATTTATTCAGAGTCAGTTTTCATGGATCTTTCACTTGGTGAGTTTTAGTGCCTAATGAAGTAATTGACGGAAAGTAGCGAAAGAGTTTGAGTTTTACAAGCAAAACAGCTCTCTGTGATGCATTTTGCAAAGCTGTGTGTTTTAAAACTTGCTGCAGCTTTCTCTTCTGGAGTGCGTGTTCAGCAGTCGAATTACAACTGTTTGTCCCTGACATCCTCAACTGTCATAGTATCATTTGAACAGTAATTACTGCACAGCAATTAGTTCAGTGAGAAAAGGGCTATATTTTTGATAATGAACAGTTTTTCCAACCGATATTTCCTTGCTATACCCTTTAGAATTCATTATTTTGAGATTAATTAATTTTAATGCATTCTGTTCTCTGCATAAAAAGCCAGTATGAGTCCGTTGCATTTCTATTTATTTAATCACAGAAGGTTGTTCGTTTGCCGTGCCAAGAAGATAACATGTATGGAGATAGCATGTTGGCTATCTGAGAATAGAAGGGAATCAAATACTTTTCCCCTTACTCTTTCCTTTCCTGTGGTTTCTTGTAGCCATGTGCATTCCTGTTTTGAGAAGCGGGTTTTAATGTAGCAGTTGTTTGATGTGGGCAGCTGTCTGAGGGCAAGAGGAACATCAGCAAAAAGAGCAATTGGGAAAGCAGAGCATGCTCCTGCAGGCTGCCTCTGGTGGGGATGCAGAAGACCTTGGCTCTCCCCATACCCAGCACAGATCATTTTGTGTAAGGCAAAATTTGCTTGCTCTGGGCATTGCAGAACTGGGGTGGAGCCAAAGCTCTTCTTCCTCTGTGCTGAAAGGTGGAGGAAGATGTTTTGATGGCTGCTGCTTGCCTCACGCTGGCTCTTCTCGCCAGCTCAGGTGGTGACTGTAAGGGCAATGGGGGAGCTTCTTTTTGCATTTGGAAGTAACTTCTCAAACGCAAAGGAATGAAGGCAGGCCTCAACCCAATGGCACTCATAAGTGGCTAGAATCCAGGAAGAGAAAGAATTTTAGCTTTCAATCTGTGTCCACAACCTATGTACCTGCCTCTTTCCAGTATTCTTGTTTTCATTAGAAGAAGCAGGAGAATTGGTCTAGTGTGAGAGCTGCCATATTCTAATCTGGATGTCACGCCAGTTTTCACGTGGCACTACAACTTCTGTGATTCTGCTGAAACATTTGGAAATGACTTACTGTTTCCTCTGGTGCCTATCTACATTGTAAATGTTGTTGGCCCGGACCATGTTTGGTTTTGCCCAGGTCACTGAAGCCTTCCTGCAGGAAGCATTACCTCAATACCTTTAAGCATCTGGCTGTAATGATTTGCCTGAGATTGTGCAGTAAATCTGTTGTGGAACAACAAATTGAACTCCAATCCCTTGGGTACTATGTTCCATCTCTACCCATTCCCTCCATCTCCGTTTCTTTCTTTGTTTCTTGTAGGGGGAGAGTTTAAAACAAATACCAATAGAATTACACAAACTCCAAGAAATGGAAGTGCTTCCCCAAAAGCTACTGGTCCATGGACAGCAATAATGAGCAACTAAGCCCCTGAAATTAATACTGCACTTAACTGTCTCTCTGTTTACCTTTGTATTTCTTGTGTTTGCAAGGAATATTGAGCAATGTTCTTAGATGACATTCTAGCAAGACCTTCTTAGAGACCACTGGGCTCTATGTTATTCTCAGGTTTATTGGTATTTCATATGTCAACAAAGACACGGACAAAGCAATTCAAACTGGTTTTCTGTGCTCCTTTTTTTCTTCACACCTAGTTTACTTCAGTGGAGAAATTCAGTAGTATCATGGATTTTCTTTCAGTTGCCTAACAATATACATGCCACGGCCAATATCGCAAGTACTTCTACCTCTTTTTCTAGGTTACTCTGGAGATAGGGATGGTGGATCTGTCTGACAACTGACTTGTCAACTGACAAGTGTTAGAGTTGCTTGTTCTAAACTTGCTTCATCTAATTCCTAGTATTTTCTTGAAGTGCTTGCTTTTGACATCTGTCTCTGCTTCTGGTGGGCTTCCAGCTTTTGCATCCAGGCATTAGGGCTGAAATAATATTTGAACTGGGGCTTCATAGTTTGTTCTTTACATTGCAACCTTTTGTTGACTGAATCTGGTTCAAGTCAGTGAATGCATCTGCCACCTTGCCAACTTCTGATGTTATTTCCTCTGAACATCCCCTTTGGTTTGCACTTTACTGCCAACTTTGTCTTATTTTCCAATTATTGTCTGAGAAGAGTCTGGTGGTGTTGATATTGCCAAAATGAGAAGTTACTGGAAGGGATTTACATGAAAATAGTAGATCTGCAAGCAGATTTTTGAACGGTACTGTAAATGATGAAGGCTTTTAATCTGCAATAATTCTAAAAAAATGAAAAAGTACAGTAAATACATATACAGAATTATCTGCTGCCCAGACTGAGGAGATACGTAATTAGTTAGGGTCCTCCCAGTTGTCTATAACAAAGTCAATGACAAAATTAGTTTTATTGATCTAAAAATCAAATCAGAGACAGATAGAGAGAATTTCTGAAGTATGCAATCTAGGTGTGTTTTCAGAGCTGAAATGGGTCTTTGCAAATCATTGGAAAGTTAAAACTAATCAATAGGTTTTTTTAACAGCTCTGAATTATGGATGGGATTTTTACCATATTAAAAAAAAAGTTTTGTGAAAGCTTTCCCACTTAAGATAAAACTACTCTGGACAACTTGGTATCTTCTTGGTTGGCGTGATAGCATTCAAACTAATTTTCCACTGCGTGGGCAGAACCGACATAATCAGCTGTCCGTGACCTGCAGTCCATTGTGGAAGACACTGCACTTTGAGTACGTTCTTGGTCCTTGGCCAGATCCTTACTTGTGGACGCAGCTGGAGGATGTGGAGCTGGCTGTCCTCTCCAAAGGTTAGTTGTGAAGGAGAAGTGCTCAGAGTCTGTAAAAATGCCATAAAACAATTAAGAGTTGGAATTATGACAGTCCTCCTGTATTATTGCCTTAACTTTAGGAACTCCCATTCTTCACCCCAGCAGATGAACCTGCCGTTGCAGAGGAACGTTTTATGCATCTGGATTTCTGATTTTGATAAATATTTCTGCAATGCTTGAGGTTGATGTGAGAAAAGTGTCTTCTTCAGGTTGAAAGGATGGCAGTATTTGGTTGTGGAACTGTAGAGACATAAACTCTTTCCCAGTCTCCTCATAACATTCGTAGTCTGTGGACTAGAATGTGTACTTAAACACAAGCAGATACTGGAGAAACACAATACAAACACTGCATCTGGTATGGATAATGAGCACATGATTAAATTAGGCTGCAGTGCAGCGTTAGACTTACTGACAGGATCCTGAAAGACTGAGGATCATGGCTTCAGGTTGAATAATCAGTATGATCTAGCACCCACTGAAGCAAATAGAGGAACATCAGTTTCAATAACACAACATCACGTCTTAGCTCTGCTTCATTAGTATAATCCTCTTCCTTTTTTAAAGGTTAAAATATCAGTTGTCCAAAAATGTCCCTATATTTTCATCAAAATGGGAAGTTATTAGAAGTGGACATACAGAAAGTAAGCTGTTCAGGACATTTATGATTGTATGTTTTCCTAGGGAACTGTAAGTGTTACATGTCTTGGGGTACCAAGCCATAGTCGCCTTACTGGTGTAATGGACATAAGTGTTTCTTCTCATGTGATAAAATAGGCAGGGTTTGCTCTACAACATTTCAGTCTTTACTGTATGCTGTAATAACCCTCACAAACTGTTTGAGAGAAGCCTGGTGGTTGGCTGCCTGCCCAGATGCTATTTCTTCTAGAAATGCTTGGGAAGCCAGCAATGCTTTTTAGACTCATGCACAATGCTAATAGTAACTGTAGGACCGGGCTGACCTGGGTGGGTTTATGGTGATACATTCACTGTAAGAGCCAGTCATGAATCTGCAGGGACTGACTGGTGCTTTGACTACTGTTAATGTAAGTGCACGCCTGTCAATTGCCCCACGACTTTGTTATACATTGTTTGTATTAATACTTTTCCTCACTGTTTTAAAATCATAGTGAAATATTTTTATTTTCTGCAGCCTTTATTTTGCAGGGAAGTATTCATATAACCCAATTTTAGGCCCATCATGTAAATGTAAATGTAGGAATGCAGGTTCCAGATTCAGTCAATGGTGTTTCCTGAGAGCAATTCAAACTCCTCATGTGAAATGCCCACCGTTCTCATTCCTGGAGGAATATCTCCCCTCCATCTTACCAAGTTCCCTGCATTCCTGAAGACATTTAAACGCCTTGTGAAATCTATCCTTGCTTATTATAATCCTGCCTCACTTTGAGCATGAGATTGAGCTCTTTGAAGTCAGTGATTTTCAAGGTTATATTCTTAAATACCTTCCTGACAGAGATGCCTTCTTGAAACTGGCCACGGAGCTGAAGTTGAATCTAACTCACCTTAGACGGATCATGTAATTTACCAGGATAAGAGGGTGAAGGATCTGCTCACAGTGAATACACCAGAAGACAAACATGCTTATATAACTGTGTCATT